AGGGAACGTCACTACTGTAAAGTTGCCGCTGGTTAGGGTAAAAACTAGTGCCTCGAGCGGGATGAGTCATGTGGCCCGGTTGCCGCAGCGACAAGCGAGGTTTGGCTGCAAAAGACCAAACAGTTAAACCACATCAATAAACAAACACATACCTTGAAGGGCTAAATGACAGATTACAGGATGCAAAACAGTCTGTGGCATTAGTGTGCAACGGTGACCAACTGGCACAGATACAGTCTGCACACATACAGACAAGGTCAGTGGGCAAATGCACAGCAGTAAACCCTTTAAATACGCTCTCTATTGGGACGTGGGCACACAAACTAGATTTTCAATGTCATTAATACCATTTTTATCATTTATGTGGTTAACATTGTCTTTTAAGGAGATGTGTATTAAAACACTTTTGCTATTTTACAACTAGAGAAAACCATTTCACTTTTTTTCACCAGGACAAAATTTAAGCTTACATTTATTTTAAGATGTATGCCGTTCAATTATGAATACAGGGTATATACAGTAATCCTTAAGTTAAATTTACTACTTTTTAATACCTTTTTTACTACCTTCAGATTTTTTTTTAAAACCATCACGACACTGAATTGTAAGTGTTAACCAGCAACCTTTCTATTACACAGATTTTGACATTTATAACATACAAAAATGAATAGATTTAGAGCACGCATTCCATTTTTATGTTTAGTGGATTGCATTTGCGACCGAAGTGCATTAGCTCCCATCCAGTTGACATTGATGTTTTTTACACACCAAACAATAGAGGGAATGCATTTACTTTCATGCATTTCACTTTCCCGCCGGTACAACCCCCCTCAACCTGACTGAGTGGCAAAAGATCTGCTGCGTGACTGGATTTAATAGGGGAAACTATTAAACGAAAATGTGACTAAAACTAACAATTTGATCAATTTAAACTAAATGTTGGACTCAATATAGTTGGACTCCTAACAACTTACTAAAGATCCAGTGATCCATGGATATTGACATGCAGCCAGCAATCGTGTCGCCTGACATTTATGTTTGCCTGATTTCAATAAAAGGGAAATAAAAGCAATATATAGATCTACATAGGCTAAAGCAAATTTGCCTGTGAACGCTTAATAAATACAATATAGGTAGGTCTAAATCCGGGTGATCACTTATATCAGGGTTATACAGCCTCTATATATCGTCATATCGTCCAGCAACTGAATATGACGTCAGCATCAAACATAGACAGAGATAAAAGATCTTTGATTGTGCCCAGATAAGCTAAAGCCCATATTTATACGGACTAACGCAAACACAAAATAGGACACCTGAATTAAAAATAATACCTAATTTTTAAAAAATAATACCTCTCAGACTACATAATGGCCTAAAATTTGACAATTTTGATTTATCACTTTTTAATACTTTTTAAAACCCCGCGGACACCCTGGAAAAGCAAAATAATAAAAACATTATATTTACATTTATTAATTTAGCAGATTCTTTTCTCCAAAGCAACTTAGAAATGAGGACTTAGACAAGTGATTCATTTTAAGGAGAAAATAACACGAGAAGTGCTTGCAATACAAAGTTCAACTCTAACTGTGCGTTCACACCGGACGCGAATAGCATGTCAAATTCGCCTCTACCGTGTCTTGTTTGACGCTTGACCACTTTGTATTAATTCGCGCGTCAAGAGTGAAACTGACATTAAAAAAAATGGCCGCCAACGGATTTCGATTCTGACGCACGTAAATTTCGCTTCAAATTTTTGTTTTTACACGTGTCAGAATCGAAATCTGTTGGCGGCCATTTTTTTTATATCGACCGAGCATTCATCGAGACTCGAGTCACCGCTCTGTATTTGCTCTGGAGAGCAAAACAGCAGCGTGGGGATCATCGTCACCGTATTTGTGTCCACCGGACCCTTCGGAGGCGAACCGTTTGGCGAGTTTCACAATTTGCTCGCCCAAAGAGCTGCGCCTGGATGACGCCTCCATTCGCACGAAATTGACGCGCGGATGAGGCGTATTTGCATCTACCGCGCCGCGATGTATGCCTCATTCACGCCGCAGGAATTTTTTACATGCGTAACGCGTCTTTGCATTGACTTAACATTGAAATCATTCGCGCCTGACGCGCTATTTGCGTCCAGTGTGAACTCACCATTACATCGCCTTAGAATAGTACAAGCTAAAAATAGGAGTGATTAGAAAATCATTATGAAATTCAAAACTTGATTGAAATTAACCACAAAAATTACATCACATTAGCCAAACAGTATTTATGACTGGGGCCCTTTGTTTTTCTGTGCATGTGTGTTACCGTTATATGAAAACAAAGAGGAAGACTTTGCTCTCATTTGGAAGTTCAGTAATTTAGAGCAGCCAGACTTCTTCACATTCTTCTGCCGGGCGACCAGCTGTGCGATGTGTGCCGTCTCCTCACACACACCAGCAAAACACATGACCTACAAACATACACATAAAGTTTGTCACATTATAGTTTGGTTCTGGCATGATGGTACATAGATTAATCAACAACTGAACATTATCTTTATCACAAGTGTTTAGTTTTTTTGGCATTTCTCTCAAAACCACACAAATTCCCAGTTAGAGGAGGGTAAGGAAAAATCTAATTGCTGATTCACAAAATCTGAAATTGGTTCACCATGGCCCTACTTAAACATTTATGTAAATCCTCATTAATGCTTTTGTTTTCACATAGATTGAAGTCTATGCACAGCATTTGTGATCAAAATACAAGTGATCTATTAACAGATCAAGTGAACGCATCACCTCTCCAGCACTGGAGCGCTCAAGCCGCACCACACCGGGAATGCTGCGCAGAAAGCTCTCGAGATTGGAATGGCCAAACTGCCGGTAAGGAATCATCTCTCCTGTCAGAGCCCGGTAATCTCCTGGAAGACGGGCCATGGCCACACCATGCTTACTGCTCTGAAGAACAGCTCGCAGCATCTTTTTCACCAACTCCACATCACTCATCCTGCACTCAAACACAAAGACAATCAACTGAAGACACAATGACTACAGACAGCATTTTTGTAACCTAATGAGATGCCAATCTAGAAAGAATTTTGAGCATCACAGGCGCATTCAGAGTCATACGAGTTAAAAATACTGTCTAGGTGGGCATCTTTAGGTGAGACTAATATGCTTTTAAGGTTTATAGTTAGTTATGTCTGTGGTAATTAAGGAATGCTTTGAATCTGCATTACAATAGAGCGACCCATCAAAATCAAGCTGTATAACAGAACAATGGCAAACATTAAAATAAAAAGTTAGGGTTAAATTTATTAACCCCAAGAAAACCGGTTTTATTTTTTTTAAGCAAAAAAAAAAAAACCGTTAGTTGTTAATAAAAATTAAACTTTAATAAAAAAAATTAACGTTAAGTGTTGTGCACTCATTTTATTTTATTGTTTAAAAAGGTAACGTTAACGTTATAAGTTACATGTTTTTTTCCCCACATTAAAAATACATATATTACACTTAGACTACATAAACGTATCACGTTTAAACAGTTTAAAAGATTGTCAGCTTATAAGTTACTCTTATAAACTTATTTGTCATCGATCCCTTAGACTGAAATCATTTCCATGTCAAAAGTAACGTCAAGTTAATGGTTTGTGGTTGTTTGAATGTCGTAACGTTATATTAATATTACAAACATAAAATTTTATATTTTAAAGACTAATTAATTTTGGTAGTAGGTAACGTTATCAGCCAAGATAACCTTAAACTTGCGTAAACATTAGAATTAACTCAAATATCAAAAAAACAGGCGCGAAGAGAGGAAGCTAACTTTCATCCGACCGTAACGTTAATTGACTAACGTTAGCTAACTTTATTATTCCGTTTGTTTAAACTCGTAAAGAAACTTCTTATTCCCAAATCATAAAAATATCATCAAAACATTATTAAGGGAAGAACTGTAAATTAAACTCACCTGATTGCTTTTTCTCTTCACACTAAATTAGCAGTTGAAAACCGCGAGCAGAGCACACACGCACGACACGTGCATTTGGGATCACTCCGGAATACGTCATACGTCATCTGAAAACGGCGTGAAGTCAAATTTTAGAAAGCCAAAAAATAATAAAATAAAATAATCCAGCTAAATACAAGTAGGTTATTTACTAATTCTATGATTTACTCAACAAATAAATAAATATGAATAAACCCCAACATCCCTGACTAGAAGGGCCAGCCAGGCATCCTTTTAGGCCTAGGAAATATAAAGAGTAGACAATTATTCTACAGCATTTATTTAATCACTTATTAAAATTGGTAATCTTGCTCTGTAAAGGTGCTGAAGGCAAAAACTAAAGCTATATAAAAATAAATAAAATTGGGTGATGACAGTCATGTTGTCACACACCAGCATCTGACTAACTAAACAGGAATCAATGGAGAAAAAGCTTAAGAAAATATTATTAAAATAAGTGAGTTCTTATTATAGTAAATATTATAGTATATTCATGGGCTTAGACTTTCAAAACTTACCAGAAAGTAAAAGTATTTTATATAATTTATAGGCTTTTGTGACACCATTAAATTAACTCACCAAAAGAAATATTTCATATTTTTATTACAAACATACTGACCAATACCACTGAACAAATCATAAAACTTTGTTACAGAAGCTCATAAAAAGCATTAACCCTGAACATACAACCGGATTCGCGTTTTCTCAGTCCAGTTCGCTGATGAAATTTATTTAGTTTTAATTACTTTGACGAGTTCAAAGTTGCAAATTAAAGGGAACGCTCTCATTCTAGAAAACATTTTATTGGTCAAAAAAATTGACATGCAGATGATTCATCAATCATTTTGGTTCTTTGTATCAAAAACGAAGACAGAAGCTTCTGTTTTGTCAGTAGTGCAACAGCATATACAGTGGATGACCTCAAAGTTTCAGACACAATCTTCAGTTTTGAAACATGCTGTCTGTCTTCACAGAGATAGACACACTGACACTGGTTTCAGGAACCAGTTTCAAGAGCTAAAGTTCTTTCAGATGTCTAACTGTGTTGGTTCTGTTTTGGGTGTTTTGTTGTTGACCAATTCATTTGCTTGTTGAGCCTGTGAGGTGATGGTTCGGGCCAAGAGGAGTGGGTCTTGGTTGTCGTTCTGTGTCAGTGTTTTTCTCTTCCTCATCAGGATGAGTGCAGGGTTCCTCAGCAGTGTGTAAAGCAGAAGCCAGCGCACGCGTACTCTGCCCCCTCCTGAACATCCTGTTAAACAGCACACAGGCAAATTTATTTTATTGGACTTAAAGAAATGTGTGCTTTGGTTTCAGATATCTGTTATTATTACCTGTGTTATTGCTAAAAGTTGCATAAGAGGGCACTGCAGGTCCTCGTTTCTCCACTATTCTCCCAAGCAGTAGATGGCAGAAAGACACCATAACGGGGTTGCTGTGGTAATGATCAGCAAATATCATCCCTATCCATGTGCTATATCCTGCCACAAAAAAAGTAACATTTAAGATTACATTACTTACATTTTAGAGCCTGTAAAGGGAAATATTCCATCTCCCAATTATAACTGACTGTCAATAGAGGCACAGGAAATCTCTCAGATTACATCAAAAGATCTTCATTTGTGTTCCAAGGATGAACGGAAATCTTACGGGTTTGAAATGACATGAGGGTTGACTGAGTAATTTTTGGGTGAACTATCCCTTTAAGTCTAAATGATATTTGAAAATTTACATTTTCACTGCACAGCCATACATATGCCATTTTTACCTGGATCCATGGACTCATAGCCGCGCTGCATGATGGTCCGATCAATGCGCGACACCAGCCATGTACCCACAATGCAGCTGCTTAAAAGGCGCAAAATACAGTTGCTCAACCCCATAATCACATTATAGAAGAAGAAAAAGTAGTTAAAGCAGTGGAACGCTTTTCTGTGGAAGAACAAAAGAGAGATTAATTATTTCAGAAATATCTTTTAAAAAGACTTTTGTTTCATATTTATAATGATATTTTTCACTCATGACTGTTTAAGGTCATATATTTATAGCCTTTTCTATTTTTTTTTTTTTTTAACTTTATGAAAATTGCTTTTTAATGGTCCTACCTGTTGTTGATTGCAAGAGGCTTTTCTTTGTCTTCAGGTGAGAGTTTGTCCTGCAGGAAAAACACTTGGACCAGAATAATCTGCCCAACCACCAAGGCTATAACTATGAAAATTGTGAGCCTGAAATTACATAAAAACACAATTTAATGCTACTTAAACAGCATCTTAAATAGATAATTATTAGATTATCATAGAAAATGTTAGGGCGTTGGCTATCAAACACACTAATGTTAAAAAGTTTGCGGTCAGTAAGTCTTTTCTTATACTTTCCGTAAAGATGCACTGAATTGATCAAAACTGACCGTAAAGTAAATTTATAATGATACTTTTCTAACTATTTCAAATAAATACTGTTGTTTTGAATGTTCAATTCCACAAACATAAGAAGCAGCACAAATGTTTTCAACATTTATGATAATAAGCACCAAATTAGCATATAAGATCTGAAGGATCATGACACTGAAGGCTGAAGTTATGATGCTGAAAATACAGCTTTGCCATCACAGGAATAATTTAAAATTTTATAAATATATTAAAATAGAAATGTTATTTTCCTAACACACTTACTGACCCCAAACTTTTGAAAAGTAGTTTAAAAATGTTGTCATGCAAATTCAAAAAATGGGCAAATGATAATGCTTATGAAAATAATGTGGAATTGTCAGAACTCACAGAATGACGCCAACACTAGAAAGCCAGCTGAGAAATTGCCCCTTCTGGATTGGTAGAACAACTCCATACACAAACATTAACGCAAAAAGAAACTGCACAAAGTGAACTATCAGAAACCCTGCAGAAAAAAAAAAAATCATTTTAAGCAATGCAGCAAACCATGTCTTTAAATTATTCCATTTATTCGAGTCACACTGACTAAAAACAGGAAAATAGCAAAGTATGCCAAGGGACAGATGCCCGTGAAGCTAATGACCTCTCTGAACACTACTTTTCAATAATCACTACTTTTTCAATAACACTGAATAACTCCAAATTGTAAAGAGTTTTACATACCCCACAGAGTGAAGGCAATCTGCCAGCCTGAATATCTTGTTATAGCAGCCTGAGAGAGAAAAGCATTCGGTATTATGATGAGCCACCTAAATGCCACTGAGTTTGTCTTTTTAATGATGTTGTCAACCTCAGTCTTAGAGGAGACCCCAATGAATCCCTTCACAAATCTTTACTTACCACGCTGACTGCGGGACTTGGTTTGTGGAACTTCTCAGGAAGAAACGTTTTTTGCCCCTTCCACAACCTCTTTAAATGTTTCCTGCAGTCATAAATGCGGCACATTGTTAGGTAAAGTTTTTCTTTTTAATTACTGAAATTGCTATAGTGTTGAATTGTATTTATAAAACCTGTTTAAGCAAGCATACCTGTAACATACTAGCACATGAAACGTGTAAGTAACAGATGTCAGAGTGGAAAAAATGGTTGTCGCCAGCCACGACCCTAATACAAAAATATTAAACATTAAATCACTTTTCAGCATCTATCTATCTATCTATCTATCTATCTATCTATCTATCTATCTATCTATCTATCTATCTATCTATCTATCTATCTATCTATCTATCTATCTATCTATCTATCTATCTATCTATCTATCTATCTATCTATCTATCTATAATTGTAATCCAAATTATTCAACCCCCCTTGCAAATCAGGTTTATTAAAATGTATACAGACATTTGGCTATTTGTAAAGAACGAATCAAACAAAAGTAATAAAAATAGCTCAACACAAAAACATTTTTCAAGTGGTTTCCCCGAATTCAACTGAAAATGGAACTTTTGATGACTTTGTATCAAAATTATTAAACTCCCTGAATAGAATCCCTCACAACAGCACAAATCTGCAAAACAAATGTTGTCTCAAGTACACCTGATGCAACTAATCAAGGGCTTCATTAGTTTAATTTAGTAACATTCAGTTTCATCAAGTAACATTTCAGCCCTAGGGATCAGCGGTATATCTGAAGGAAGAAGAATGAAGCATTTGCTGAAAAGAACACACTGTCTACAGTTAAAGGGATACTCCACTTTTTTTGGAAATAGGTTCAACAGTTGAGTTTTACCATTTTTGAATTCTTTCAGCCGATTTTCTGATATTTACTGTAGAAGAATATCAGTAACCAGACAGTCTGGTCTCATTGACTTCCATAGTATATTTTGTTCCTACTATGGAAGTCAATGAGACCAGAAACTGTCTGGTTACTGATAACTTACTGAATAAAAACAAGAAATTCTTTTTTTTTTTAATCTTACTGACTCCAAATGTTTGAATGGCATTGTCCTATGTACTGAGACTATAAATATAAACAAAAAGATAAGAGAAAAAAAAAGAATCTTACTTCGTGCAACAATGCTGAACTCATTCATTCTGGGAATGAGGGATGTGAAAATGTTGTCTGTGTGATTATAGGATGCTGCTATCTCAGCAAATGAGTCCGTCAAAGCATCTAGTTTGTCAAAGGTGTAGTCACTCAAGCCGTAGTCTGCTAGGGTCATCTGCATATTAGCAAACACATTTGCATTGTCTTAAGTTACTAATCAAAAAACAATAATGCATGGCTACAAGTGAGTGCCAACTGACCATGTACAAACCAATCAAAGAGATAATGCATGTGCCAATCATTCTGTTAGGGAATTTAAAGTGAGGATCCCAGTCATACATTTTTCTTCTGAACCAACTCTTTTCTTCCGGCCTGAGGGAAAATAGAAGAATGAGTATCGGCTGATTGGTTTGAATACAGTACAGTGATAAATGCATGTTCATGAGTGCTTACTGTTCAGAGGGGCGTTTCAGTAGAGTCTGTACATATCTGAACTGATGGAATTGTAGATCCTCCTCATTCTATATATCAGAGAAATATTTATTTATTAAATATTGTTAATTCTTAAACTAATCTTAATTTATATCCGTTTATTATAGGCTACATACTAATGTTCATTTATACAACTTAACTCTTTCCCTGCCAGCTTTTAAAAAATAAAAGTTGCCAGCCACCGCCAGCATTTTTGATCATTTTTCACAAGTAGTTGTATAAATATCTGAACATACAATATATCTAAAACTTTATCTAAAGCTTGAGGTGAATGCATTTTTGTCAGACTGGCTTTTTTTTATTAGTGTGAAGAACATTTTAATAATGTAAAGAACCTTTGTCTACTATAAAGAGTCTTTTGTGCAATGGAAAGGATCCATGAATGTTAAAGGTTCTTCATGAAACCATATGCCAATAAAAGTGTGACGATCAGCAGCCGTGGTGCTCTCGAGAGCCACTAGAGGGCACTCTCTCCCCAGGTTATGTTTCCCCATGGACTCTTTGTGTTTCATTATGTTCAGCTGTGTTTCATTATTGGTTATTGAGTTCCTTATTTAAGCCTGAGTTTTCCCTGTGTCCCTTGCGAAGTCTTGTTACCCTGTAAGCGTGCAATTCCGAGCGTTACTCCCTGTTCTGTGTCTCCGTGTTTCCCTGGACTGTCTTGACCCTTGCCTGTTTCCTGGACTGTTCACGAACCTGTGCTGCCTGCCTCGACCATTGCCTGTTTAGACGCAAGAGTTTCTGGATTGCCCTTTGTTTAATTCTGTATCTAAGTTTGTCTGCTTGTTTCAAGTATAATAAAGTGCTGCACATGGATCCGACCGTCTCTGTCCGTACGTTACAAAAAAGAACCTTCATTATTAATAAATTTTCTAAAAGTAGGCTACTGTTTAAAGGAACACTCCGACTTTTTGGGACTTTAGCTTATTCACCATACCCCCCAGAGTTAGATAAGTCCATACATACCTTTTTCATCTCTGTGCATGCTGTAACTCTGTCTGACGCACCCACCGCTAGCCTAGCTTAGCACAAAGACTGGATGTAAATGGATACAGCTAGCATACTAATCTCAAATAAGTGACAAAATAACGGACACATTTTCTTATTTACATGTTGTGATTTGTATAGTCACAGAGAGTAACAAATAACAAGGTAAAATGAGAGCCATCTTTTTACCATAGCCTATAAAAATTGGGAAACTATATTCTCAGAAAGCGTCATCATGGTATTACCTGGTCTCCCCTGTTTATTGTCGCACCTCTTTACAATACAGCGGACATCCATGATGTAAACTATGCTTTTACTATCTAACAATTGCTGACTCTATACTCCAACTCTGAACGAACTCTCTGCTCCTCCCATGGCACGTCTCAAGTGCTGCGGTAATCACTCCGCCCGAGAGTAGCAGTGCTTCGCCTTCTCAGAATATAGTTCCCAATATTTATACGGTTAAAAGATGGTTGTGTCTCATTTGACTTGTTATTTCACTCTGTGACTGTACAAATCACAACATGTAAATAAGAAAATGTATGCGTTATTTTTTTCACTTATTTGGGATTAGTATGCTAGCTGTATCCATTTACATCCAGTCTTTGTGCTAAGCTAGGCTAGCGGTGGGTGAGTCAGGAGATGAAAAAGGTATGTATGGACTTATCTATCTCTGGGGGATATGGTGAATAAGCTAAAGTCCCAAAAAGTCGGAGTGTTCCTTTAATTTGAACTAATTTATTATCTAATGACAACAAATTTAACCTTATTGTAAATTATTAACATAAAATGAATTCCAACAAGACTGTATCATGATCTGACCTCATCAGCTTGTAGCTGCAGGTGGATTCTTACTGCCTTCACAATGATATACACAAACCGTCCCAGCAGGAAAAGCAGGCACAGAAAGAACGGCCACAGAATGATCCATTTCTCGTTAGGACCTAAAACCTGCAACCAGCAAAATGTGCTTTAATGATCTACTGTCACAACTACATATTATGCTATATCAATTATATTCATCCAAAGACACCACTGCAAGCTTTGTATACTGAGGGATAATAACCTTAACATGCAAACATAAACGTAATAATATAAAGTTAATCATTAATAAATGAAAGTGAATTATTAATAATATTAACCAACCCTTCAGAGGACAGCTTATCGTGTCATACAGTCTCACAATGAGCCTGAAACCCACATTATAGTCAACAGTCAGTTCATCAACACTATATAAAATCCTACAGCTACAAGTACAAACAGAGGAGTATTGAGGTAGGCCAAGATTTCAGATTAAAGATTTATCTACAGTATGTGTGTGAGTAGTTTTTTTTTTTGTACCACATGAGTGTGTATAGAAGACCTAAAGCCCCTCCTAGTGCTCGGTGTGGCGTTGACAGACAAGCAAAGAATGGCAGGTACGCCACGCCAACCTCTATCGCTCCTACCAGGTACAAAATAGCTGAAAGAAACGCACATATATATCAAACTGTAACTTCCCTTTGGTTTACATGACATCATTTTGTTACATTATAAATGTATTTACTGATCAATTTCATGCATTCATTTATTTCAAACCTTTGAATGGTAGAGTATAACAATAAAAATATGTGCATTGTCATAAATAAACTACCTTAGCCCAGTTAGGCACATTAAATGGTGCGTAGGACTCAGAGAAAAGCTGAATCACACTGGGAGCAATAGCACCAAATGCAAAACCATAAGACCATCGGTTACTTTAGATTGCCGATGAAATCCAATGGACTGCAGAGGAAAAACACAATATACACACACAAAGTCTTTAGACAACAAAAAACACAGATGAATATTAAAAGCAGAACTTCATATTTTGTTTCAAAATCACTCACACCAACAATGCCCAAATCGACCCTGAGATACGGAAAGCGATTCTCAAAGGGCTGAGCCTTCGCTCTGCGCTGTACAAATGAAAGCAGAAACACAATGAAGACCTGAAAAACAAAAGAAAATGAACCATTACAAATACACTCTGAGAGAAGTCTAATGATCCAATGATTCTAATAAAGTAGGGAACATGCAGTGTCTCCAAACAGTATTTAGGCAGCAAGTTCACACAAACTGATTAAGTTACTGCAAAATTGATATTCATGTAATCCTGACAATTCTTATTTAATAGTGTAGCATCAGTGTATCATGTAGCAAAAGTGTTGAATGTTATATCCTGAGGGAAGAGAGTTCTGTCTGGACAAATGAAGGCCTTACTCACAGCAGGAACAAGAGAGCAATGCAGGAACAAATCCAAGGAAATTCCTTTCTGACATTCCTCCCTGAGAGACAGAATGGAGAGAGAGTGAATAATGAGAAAGAATGAGCAAGGGTTTAGAGCTTTCATGCTGTATGAATGAATAAAATGGCAGCTGAATGAAAACAGCTTCAATGATTCAATTGATCAAAACATAACTGACCCACTTACTTTAATAAAAGTAGGCATTATTTTCAGGCTAATTATTAATATTGTTTATTGTTATTATATAAGATGTAGATATCTGAACATCGACAGATAAGATTTATCACACACATCACAGTGACCTAAAAACACTTCCCCTTATCAACAGAAAAATTATTTTTGTTACATCATTTTGCAAGATTTGACCTATTTCTATGACCTTTGTTTGAAATACACCATTTTTCTATTTTATTTTCAAATCATTTTAGTTATTGATCAAATTTTACATATTTGAACCATTTCTACAGCTAGTCTCACAGAAAACATGTATTAATATAACTTTTTAAAAGAGAGATAATTACTAATATGTTTTTCTGTGATCGGTTTAGATGATTAAATATTGGTTTAGGTAAAGGACATTTAGTAAATTAAATAATCTTATTTAAATTCAAATGTTAAACTTTTAGTGAAGTTTAAACTCTTAGCATGAACAGAGGCCAACACATTTACCAAAATAAATACTCTAAACATTATAAGAATGTCTTCGCAAGTAGGCCCAACTGAAGGTGTCTACTATTCTTTTCCTGTCATTCTGAAAAGTGTTTCAAAAGCAGAAGTACTCACATGATTTCTGCAATGTCTCCCGTTCTGCTGGTGAAGTACACGAGGGATCTTCTATTGCTCTGTTGCTTATAGACAAAGACTAGAGTAGCTCTCCGTCAGGACCGTCATAACAGACTATAGTTCCAATAAACCATGACATGAAGTACAGCTTCACTTGAACTTCATGAATGAGGATATAGATAGATATCTAGTCACGTGACTGGACAAACTTCGACCTAGGCCACACACGTACTAGTGTCTCACAGAGAGAGAGAGATGTGCCAGTGTGTTTTATTGACTGTACTGTTACTGGTTGTTCAAACATAGATAAGACTTGCTGTTGAACTAGACAGATGATTTAGAGCTCACCCCTTCTCTGTTTGTGTGTTATTAGCATTGCCCAGTGGCGGCATAAACATTAAATGGCATCTTACGCACGCACAAAAGCCATCGACACATGCCGATTGTGCGAAGTGATAGCCTAGCCTAGGCTATGTCCAGTGAGCGTGCGGTATATTTTCATTGACATGAGACCTATGCATGAGACAGAGAATATAATAGACGGGCTTTGTCTGAGCTGAACCAGAGTAATGAACTAACTATGAACAGTATTTTTATTAACCAACGTTAAAAAAAGATTAATAAATACTGTAACAACCACATTGCTCATTCATCATTAACTGTTATCTACCAATCTTTAAAATATTGTAAAAGTACATTAAATTAATTATTTCATGACAAATTATTTGAGAAATAATGCACAGAATTATAAATCCGAATTAAGTTAGTTAATATTGTCACATCATTCATAACACAAAAAAATTAAAAAATAACTAAACAAACTATAATCTAGAGATAACGTTATAGCGGGATATGCTGCTGATCACGGAAATAAACACAAGGGGGCGCCGTTGATGAGATGAGAAGAGTGTTCATGCTATTTTGTATGGAATATCTGTATCTTCACAATATCTTTGCATTTTTTTTAAGTTTCTGAAAGAAGCCCTTTTTACAGTAGTTTTATTATTTGTCTGTTGATTAACATATTTTCATACAGTGACAAGATAAAAAGACCCTTTAACTCTTAAAAACCCCTAGCCTAAAAGTGTATGTGAGTTATTGCATTACATAACAAAATAGAACTGCACACTTAAAACATTTAGCAAAAAAAAAAAAAAGAAGAAGAAGAAAGAAGAAGAAAGAGGTTTGGTCAGAGTTTCTTTTGACACTTTCAGCTTGTCAAACGTTAGTGAAACATTTATATGAAATACTCGTGGTGCTGTAGCACACCTGTGTGGGTATTTGTAGCTAAAAGTAAAAAGGTTATTTGTTTCAAGCGCCTTTTTTATAAAGAGCTGGTGGGGTGGGGGGTACATGTATTATTGTAAATGTTTATTTGATATAGACCAATTTTTTTATTATACTTTATTATAAATTATATTATTTATTTGTTTATTATATTATGTTTAACTACACATTCACTATGAATGTGTGTGGGTGTAAGTTACGTTTCTACAGGCACTAGAAACGCCCACCTCACCGCTGCCACTCCAATGGATCTGCGCTTTCCCAGACAGTACCAATGCCTGAAACACAACGATTAACAGTGGTCAGACGCGATCAATATCATAAAAAGTTTCATGAATAGGATTTTGCTGATATCCGATGAACGACTTGTAACTTGTATTCTTCGCCGTCTCCCATTATTCAGTGAGAATGCCGGAGTCTGTGCTGCTGAATGTGGGTTTCTTGGGTAAATCATGCGTCGTGCTCGTGTGTCTCTGCGGGGTTCACATCATCGTTGCACTGTTTTTATATTTAACAGAGTCACCTACAAAATTTACGAATTACCGGCAAATGCCATCAGACTCTACTTTAGTTATTGTTACTTCACCAAACTCACAGAATTGTCACCCAATATGACAATGGAACAGTAGAAACAAACGTAAATAAAACTGATCTATAACGTTACTGTACTAGAATCGTGTCCTGAGACGTCACCACTTTTGGGTAAGTTTTCGTAAACTTTAAATGATTTACTAGGCTACTATTTGTTCATATTGCTCAGTTTGTTTGTTGATAGGGACTAGTTGACACACATTTTACACAAATGAATATATATTTTTTCAGAATAGGATTATTAGAATTGTATGTGTTTAAAAAAACATGTGTTTTTAAGTCAAAATGTTTATATTTTATTTATTATAGCCCATACATAGCTACATCATAGACGAAATATGCTACATGTTTCAGGTGGTTTTAGTTGTAGGGATAATTTTTATTCTAGAAAGAATCAGATTTAACGAAAATATGTGTAGTGAAGGAGTTATCAATATTTTGGTGGCTTTTTCCAGAAGAGAAAGATTGAACAGTTTCAATGTGAATACCTGTTAAAAAAAAAATATAACCTTCTCCTGCTGGGACCCCAACAGGACATGTTTTTGTTTTCATCCTGAAATGGCGTTCAATTAGTCAGCTACACATCGAGCTTTTGAGGCTATCTTAAAATTGAACTTAAAAGGATTGAACTTAAAAGTCTTATCAGTAAAAAAAGATAGATGGAAAAAAATATTGTGAGTGACAAAGAGAAAAAGAGACAGGGAAATAAAAACAGCCTGATTGAAACAAGAAGTAAACTGTTGTTGCTTAAAATGGGTCTTCCTCTTTCATGTGTGCAAACCTATTGACCCCCACTTCTTATGTGCTCTCCCTCTTTCCGTTCCTATTTCAGTGGGTCCAATGCGAGTTGAATTTTCAGAGAAAGTGGATTTGGATGTGGTACGTAAAGAAAATCCACAGCTGGTGATGGGCGGCAGGTATAAA